ATTCAAGAACTCAGTTGATTTCAGGAGCATCATTCAGGATCGCGTTGGGGAGGCTCATGATCATATTTACACAGTTGAAATGAAGGGGCTACAATGCTAGTGCATCCATGAAGGATTCATTCGAGATTTTCTTCAAGGAGGACTCGAGTGGTGCATCGTCATACTTGAGCTAATATTGAGGGACTCACTTTAAGCCATGCCTCAAGAGATCCCCACTTATATTCAGAAAACGATGAAGCGAAACATGACTTTCGAAAGTGCATCCCTGATGATGATAATAAAAATCTTGTAGTGGATTAGTGTTTTGATTTTATTGACTTGTTGTAGCTTTTGTGCCAGTGTGTTGGTCTTAGTGGATTTTTATTTGCTTGATGTAGTGTTTGTGCATAGTGATAGTGTGTTTGTTTGTATTACTCTCTTTTGCTTGATGTATTTTTTACACATTATGATAGTATATTGGCTCGTATATCTTTGAGCATATTTGATGTATTTTCTTACTTTTTCTAATAGTGAATATCTTTTATGCTATTTTTTTTTTGGTGGTGGGTTGAAGTTACCAAATATCATTCTTGAATATGACTGCATTCATGTCTCCAAAAAAAAGTTCGATCCATCTCGACCTATGCCCCAGACTAGAGAAACACATAATATTTTCTAGCATTTTATTTTGTGTTTAATCGTTTTAGTGGGACTCGATTCAACCTCTTCCATTTCACGATACGAACATCAAGCAACTGCTTTGACTAAACAACCTATGATAGGTAAAAAATTCATGGTTCATTTCCTTCTTCCTCTTCCATTACAAGTTACAAACATCGAGTGAATGCTCGAGTGAATGCTCTGATTAAGAACCATTTGGATTTAATCAAAAAATGTTGACCCATCGTAGGTTGTGATATCGAAGATGAACAAACACTCTCTTACCCCACGCCTATAAGCTTGTAAAACAATCCAAAAATTTTTGGAGGTTACAATTATAATTATAGTCACAAAGTGATGTACAAAGAATAAATCATAGCATCATTTCTCAAATTACATTAAGTACATCAAGCTTTGAAAGGAAATTGAAGCAAACATCAATGTAAGTAAACATTGAGATACACATATGATGACTGAACACCAATAAAGAGAAAATAACAACTATAATAGCATGACTGTGCTGATCCCTGATAATATCTCAAAAGATTATCCGCATTTCAAATTCGAGGAAGTGTCTTCCTATCAGGCTCCTCTAGCTTGAAAGTTTCTTGAACATAAATTCATTAAAATGTAGAGCACTTACAAAAAAAGAATAGCTAAATAGCCACTCAACAACAAAAAAAATGGGATTTATCCTTAGAAAGAATGGGAAGAGAGCACTATACCCGCTAATTTGTTTTAAGAAAAAAAAACTATCCTATAAAGCAAGCTTAGCACAATAATTGGCTGCCTTGTTACAACCCCTATGTCTGTGACAAAAACGCACTTGTTTAAAGGTGGCAACAAAAGCTAAATCCAGTGCAGTCTTGTGTTGAAGTTTCCAACACTTCCTCTTTAACGTGCTTTGCAAAAACTTCTTTATGTTGGAGTTGTAGCCTTCCACAATAATGCCTATGCATTCCCGCATCCATGGTTCACATATTTTTTGAATAGAGAAAATCGCTTGAAGTTTTGTAAATGCACTGTCCCATTGTTTAGAACGTTACCCAACTGCCCCGAGACCCTTTTTTTGTTCATCCCGAATGATCATTCCGATGCTAGCAATACGAGACGGTAATAGTGCCCCAGGCCAATGCCAAAAATATTGGAGGGCAACCCCGAGGGTTGGCTAATATCCCAGTGCTCTCGTAATGGGTAGATATGAGTTAATGTAAGCGATTCAAGAACATTTGCAGCAGTGATAGAAGGTGTTCCACATATCTGGCCATGGAGCTTTGCGCTCCATGCTCTCCAATAGTAATGAATAGTATACCAATACATTCGACTAGTGGCAAGGGAGTTGGTCCTATTGGTTCAGAGTTCGATAATTGCAAATCATCAAACTTGAGGGTCGAAAAGTCCCACTTGTGCAATGTCCAAATGACCTTCTACACAAATGAACAAGTAATCGTAACATGTGTATGATCCTCAGTGCCTGTACAACCCCATGGGCAATTATTGGATTATGAAAGTCTCCTTATATGAGCAGCCAATGTTGCGTGGGGATGACATCATGTAGAAGGCGCCACCAGAAGACCCTCTCATGTGGGTGTAGATGGAGTCATTTAATTTAGGAGAAGTTATTTCCGTGAGGGAAAATCACAACATATGCTAAACTAATGATTGTTTTTCCTATGAAATTGCCATTCAATTCACGCCAATCCTAGTTAGTGTCCGATGGATGGTACATGATGGCTATGAAGTGATCCACATGTCATATGGGTTAGAAGTGTCAGCATAAGCATCAATGCTTGAGTGCTTAAACCCTGTCAGAATAGGGTGCTCACGGACAATCCCAGTTAATGGAGAAGACTCCTGAGTTCCATGCCGAGCAGAGAGATAACCTCTATCACTCATAGGAAACTCCTGTACAAAACGTTATAACTCGTCACGGATTGTGTGAGGTCAAGCTACATTCTCCATGCTTGACTACAGGAAGTGGATGTGTAAGCTAGAAATGTCGATAAGTTTAATTTCCTGAAGAGGAACTCCAATATACGAAGGGGGGTGCCATCTGTGTTCCTCTAACCAATGGATTTTAAGATAGTTGCGCCCCCTAGTAAGCATTATTGTCGGTTGTCAAGCCTCCAACAAAAATCAAAGATTCTCATTATGAGATTCCTCCATTGTTCGTACACGATCTTCAGGTGGTGCAAGGGAGGCTCCTTCGCCAATAGAATGATGTGCATCATTGGTAAACAAACTAGAGGCTTGATGTCACACACTTCAAGGCTGTGCCCTAGAATGATGGGTGTTAGAACAAAAAGCTAGTATGTTGCATTTGTTGGCCATTGAAGAAGTTTAAACTTCTATCACCGGGACTTCATTTTCCTCAGACAATGATAAAATGTTGCATGTCAGAAGATTTATAACGGTAGAATGCACAGTGTTGTTAAAAAATTCAACACACACATACAATTATAATTGAAAGGTAGCAGGAGAATGCACTAAGTTTTTTTACATGAAAAACCTCAGAAAGGGAAAAAAAACCACGGGGTCTAGTCCAAACAAAGTATTCTACTAGAAATTTGTAATTACAAAGATACACTATTGTCCCACAATTGAGAAGAAGAGTTATAATGCTGCACCAAGTATAACACTTGTCTATGCATGGAACAATTCAAGAGTTTGAAGAAAGTCTTTGTATTTTAAGAATGCCGGTTGAATTTATTCATCACTAGAAGGTATACTCGGATCTTCAATACGATGTTATTCGTTACTCCGTACGTAGGATACTTCGTAACACCGTATTCAGGATATTTTGTTGCACCATATTCAGGGATATATTGTTACATAACATAGTTCGACAATGATGATGAGTAGGAGTGACTGATGGTGGTTGACGATGGCTAACAGACGGGTGGTCGATGGTGGTCAACAACATAGAAGCCGAAAGTTATTGTTGGGTCTTCAGTCAAGAACGACATCAAAATTTAATTTCTCTTCTATCTCATGTGAAGAGAGGGGGTTTATTTATAGGCTGCATGGGAGGGGCATTTTGATAATTTGACCCTAAACTCTGATAACCACTGGTCGAATGAACCACGTTAATTTCCCTCGATCATAGGTTATTTTTTGATGATTTTTTTAATGACCTCAGTATCGAGTGATCTTGAGCTCATTGGATTACTCGTTGAGACACTTGATTTAAATATAAGTAAGTCAAATTTAGACCCTTGAATCAACTACTCAGCCCTCTAAATGTGATTTAATAGTTTCATCTGGGCTTGATTAGACTTAAATTAGACTAATTTTTGTATTTTTAATTTTGCATTGTCGAGACAGTCAGTTTGACAATAAGTTTGCTGAAATCTGAACTATAATTGATTTTTTTTATTTGAATATGAATATTTTTTTCCTCAAAAAATGCCTTGAAATTCATGCCAATTTATAAAATTTTATGACACACACATAAATAAATAAATAAATAAATAAATATATATATATTTTTTGTAGATATATTAGTTATAAATTTGTTATTTTAAAAATATATTTTTGTTTTTATTAAATATTGAATAACTAGCTCGTGGCGACCATGACTACTAATTGATTGTAACATGTTGATTGATGAGTGATTAGAAGTGATGATTATTATTATAAATAATCAATTCATTTAAAAATTATTTTAAATATTTTTAAAATAAATTGATTGATTTAAAAAATAAAAATAAAACATGGTAAAAGTACATTGAAAATATAACGTTTTTTTAAAATTATTTTAATTCCTACATAAGCTAAAGAATGTAAGCACTTAAGCTTGCTTTATATTATGTTCCTTCTTACCATACACGAAAATTTCTTATCCCGTTCATTTCATGGAGCTACATTATCATTGGCGTCATATATTATGGATGAAGTAACCACTGTATCAATACTTAAATCATTATTTGATATGATCAAATTATATTATTCTATAAAGCTATACATCAATTAAAAAGAAGGGTCAGCATTCGTTCAATAGACTTTGGATCTGTTTGGGGTAGCTTGTACGTTTCAGGATAAGATAAGAAACGCGGTCCGTAGGCCGGCCGCGGGGGTCGACGCGCGGGCTGCGTTTAGTGTAAAAACCCAAACGCAATTTCGGATAAGCTAGCGAAACATGCGAACCAAACAGTACGGCGGCATTTTAAAAATGACATTATAAGCTGCCCGCACTTATAAGCTGCCCCAAACAGACCCAAAGACGAGTTTTAAATAAAACGTAAGCGTTACATATATATAAATGTAAGAATTGGTTGGTATGTTTTAATTAATATTTGATTAATTATTTATATTTTAAAATTATACTAAAACAAATTAATAAATTTCTTGACCGACAGTCGGCCACTAAGCTTCGCTCCTCAGTCACACTCACAGCTCGCCGAGTACTGTCTCCATTCCATCAGCGACCGGCGATACTCTGCTAACAGCTGCCGTTGATTCAACCGGTGATGGGTTCAGTTTCCCTTAAGATCGGCGACGGCACCGCCCGATTCCGGCGTGCAACCGTGTGCTCGTCTGCTCTCCACCTCGTCATGCTCGCCTCTGTCCTCACCACCAATCTCTTCGCACTGTATGCTTTCACCTACGCACCGAAACCCTCCTCCTCTGCTGTTTTTCACCACGTCAAGAATTTCTCCGTCATCTCCGAGCACGTAGCTGCCATCCTACGGGAGATCGATTCCTCCGAGCGCCGCCTCCACCAGATCGAGCGTGAGCTCTCCGGATACGATACCCTCGACCCCTCCCTTCCATCTCTGCCCTCCGAGCTAAAGCTTTTCCTTACTCGTCACCCTCTTCCACTTGGCCCTGATTCCCGCTCCAAGATTACTGAGATGGTATCCTCTGTTGCTCACTCCTGTGCTCGTTCTTCCGAGATCCTTGCCCAGTTTATGTCCTACAAGCCCAACGCCCTTTGCCCCACCGCCGACTACCATCTACCCCAGAAGCTTATCTCCCGCGGTTGTGAGCCCCTTCCTCGCCGCCGCTGCCTGTCACGCACGAAACACCGCCAGCTTCTACCCTTGCCCAAGTCCCTCTGGAATACCCCTTCATCCACCGGCGCTGCAGTCGTGGACAAGCAAATGTGGGTTAAGTCCCGAGGGAAAAACGATTTTCTGATTGATGAGGTGTTGGCTTTGGGCGGCGGTGGCATACGTATAGGCTTTGACATCGCCGGAGGAGCAGGGAATTTTGCAGCTAGGATGGCGGAGAGGAATGTCACTATAGTAACCTCCACTCTTGATGTCGGGGGATCTGTTGGTGAGTTCGTTGCTGCTAGGGGCCTCTTCCCTCTTCAACTCTCTCCGGCACACAGATTTCCATTTTATGATTCGATTTTTGATCTGGTTCACACAATGAATGGATTGGACCAGGGAGGTGTATCCGGACTAGGGCAGGGGCAGTTGGAGGGCCTAGAATTCTTGATGTTTGATATAGATAGGATTTTGAGAGCTGGGGGTTTGTTCTGGTTGGATAACTATGTTTGTGTTGACGATGAGAGGAAGAGGGTGGTGACAAGGGTTATCGAGAGGTTTGGGTACAAGAAGCTGAAGTGGGTGGTGGGAGAGAAGGCTGATTCCAATAAGACTCAGCTCTACTTGTCGGCAGTGTTACTGAAACCAGCTCGGGGATGAATACGAAGTACGATTCCCAAATTTTATTTTATGTTTTGATTTTTGGAGAAGCATTTATGATTTATGTGCTTCTGATGCTTTCCTTGGTGGAAATTTGATGCAAAATCGGTTTTTAAAATAAAGGTAAAACGCTGATCTTGGTTATTTTGTAACTGGATTTGGGTAGACTAGTTTTAGTATATGTTCCCTGGGAATTTTTCATATTATAGTTTCAGATGACTATATGGTTGTTCCATCTCAACTTTTCCAAAGAAAGGAAGAGCAAGAATATTTAATGGTAACTACAAAAATTTGAATATTTTTCATTTTTTAGCTTCACTATGGGCTTTCTATATAGTTTATCAGTTAGTTTTTATGTTAAGTTAATTTTGGTAATATAAAAGAATATAAGCACATTGCTTCATCCTATGAAGTTTGATTTGGAAAGGAGATCCTGTTTCTTCTTAGGATCATTTACATACATAGCACACAGTTCTTATGCATTTACATCTCAGAACTAACTTTCGTATTTATACACATAGCAATCAATTTTTTATTATCACATCAAAAATAGCACTATTACCACTTTTTTAAAGTGAACTATACCTTTTCATGCATAGGTTTAAAGCACCAAAGTTCCATTTATGTAATTATGAAGTTTAGGTGTGAGATATGTAACTAAATAAGAATGTGTGCTACATATGTAGACTTCTCTTCTTTTTAATCTGTATGCACTATGACATTGATCATCATCATAATTAGTGTCACACCAAACCTTTGGGTCGCTTTCATGTAATCTGGCAATACATTTGGTTAAATGGACTATTGAACAAAATGCATTAATGGCCATTTTAAAAGATAATGCCAAGTTCACTAATGGCAGTTTTATCCTAGCAAATGTAATTTTGAATTTGTGAAGACAGTAGAAAGTGTAACTGTAATGAAAGCTAATGATGTATATTGCTATCTTATGTCTATTTATAATTGTATAATGAATAAATAGACATTGAGAACTTGCCAATACTATGGTTTTTACTTATGAGTAGCTAATGCATGCATTAACATTTTAAAGCTTGGCTGGATATGAAAAAGTTTCCATTTCTTAATTTAATGCATTTTTGCTGCTTAAAATTTGTGTCTTCGCAGCCTTACCCCTGTATTTGTGGAGTTGATCATGTTCAAATATAAACGGGTTAAAGGTACGGTTTATGGCAAGGATTTTATGATGTTTCTATGTATAGTGTGCTCTGATGTTGAGACAGATGCTAAGAATGAGGACTGCAAATTGTAGAATTTTTAGATGCCTGAAGATTTTGCTTACTCTTAATTATGATTTGTCATTATTAGATAATTCTGTCATGCTTTCATTTTTCTTAAAACGATAGGTTATCATAAAAATGGTTACTTTGTGTCGCTACGAGTTGATTTTTTTGGATAAAATACTTAATCAAAGGCTTGTTTTGCAATTGAAGTTTTACCTTGATCTTATTTTTGTATTGACAAACCCTTTTGGCAGTTGTTTGGCTTTATGCTGACGTTTTTAAATGGTGAACCTATTAAATTTATGATTTCATTTGTGTGAGGGTGATGGCTTTCTTTTTTATCTTGTTTATTACTTTTCTTCTCTATTGTGATAATTAATCAAAGGCTTGCTTTTCAACTGAAGTTTTGCTTGATGTTATCCTTTCATTGGGAAACCTTTTTCACAGTTGTTTGGCTTCATGTTGAAAATTCTTACATGGTAAACCAGTTAAATTTATGATTTCACTTGTGTTTTGGTGATGGCTTTCTTTGTTATCATATTTTGTTACTTTTCTTCTTTATTATCATATTTGTTATTATTCTTCTTTGTTATCATATTTGTTACCTTTCTTCATTGCCAACAATGGAACCTATAATGTGCTTATTTAAGATGTAGTGATAAAAAAATGTACTTACTCACGTGTTCCTTTAATGTTGAGCATCAAGTTGAATATGTACGATTGTTTCAATAGTACTCCATTATCCTTATTACTTTAGTTTTCCTTCAGGGTTGCTTTTATTTGACACATTCATAACCTACTAACGAGGTATGATCACACACACATATATAATGGGCATTATTAGTTAACTAAAAGGCTACAATGATTTTTAATCAATTAAAATTACTAACTTAAAATATAATAAAAATATATTAATTTTTATTTAAATGAATGATTAACAAAAACAATAAGATTTAAATCTCACCATATCCTTAACGTTTTATGGTTGTGTGATTAGGGTTGTCAAAATGGTTCATTGTTCGTGAACAACTCGTGTTTGGTTCGATAAGATAACAAGTCAAACACGAATAAATTTTTTGAGCTCGATATAAACGAGCCAAAAACAAACAATGATATTTTTTATTGAGCTGAATACGAGCCGAGCTTGGGCTCGAGCTTGGTTCTTTTATACCTCTAACGACTTCGTGAATTGCGCTAAGCAAACGGGCCGAACACGAGCTGAGCCCGAGTTCGCTTGCTTTCGGCTCGTTTACACCCCTATTCATGACTTATGTTGATTTGCTATTTGTTAAACTTGACTTTTCATGTTGTAAGAATGAAAGATGCATTATTATTATTTTATGAATGCATATTACAATATTTTTCTTTATGAAATATAAACTCAATGATGACGACGACGACACACTATATCAATTTCTTTTCTTGATAATAAGTAGGGCATTTACAAATCCTCTTTGTTTACATATCTAACTCCTAAACCTTGCTACTACATTTATACCACTCAAAATTTTCATTTCACAACAAAATTGACACTTATAACTCTTAAAAAGTGAAATACACCTTTACATTCATAGATAAGATGACATAGACGTAAAAATTGAAGTTTAGATGTTAGATATGTAAATGCATAGGTGAATCCAGTGACATGTTTGTAAATATTACATAAATTTATTATCAGAAACGTTACAATCACTTACTCTATATAAAAGTTCCTGGGATGAAATGAATGTGCTTGATCCCATATTTTAAATCATGAGTTCCCAATAAGTAAAAGTAATTAAGCTAAACATTCATATTTAGGTGCATTGCAATTATGGGTACGTGATAGGATTAGTGTAGCTCCAGTGACAGACTAAATTAGAGGGTCATCTGAAACGGTTTGGTCAGATTAAATGTTGACCATCTGATGATCCGATTGGAAGAGTAGATGTTTTAGATTCGAATTATGTTAAGAAATGCAGAGCTAAACCTAGAAAGACTTGTACATATTGTATAAAAAAAGATTTTAATTTATTAGAATTAAATGAAAATATGACACTAAGTAGGATGCAATGAAGAAAAATGATTCATGTAGCCAACCCCACTTAGTGGGATAAAGGTTTTGTTGTTGTTGTTGTTCAATTAAGGGTTTATTTGGGGCAGCTGCAGCTTTTTAATAAACTATTGCGTAGCAGCTGCCACAGGAAGTTGTTGCAGATAAGTTGACTCGCGTTGTTTGTTTTTTACAGTTCGAAAACAGCTGCGCGACAACTATTTCTAGACAAATGACGATTCTGCCATTGTGTAGTAATGCTGTTTATAATATAACTGTCGTAGCAATATATTTGATACTTAGAAGAAAAAAATTACTTAAGAATCGTACAAAAAATAAGATCTACACAACACTTAACAATGAATATAATGATTACTAGCAATAAAGAAAAAAAAATTAAAATAATATTTAATAATATGATAATATTATTTTTAAAATACAAAAGACGTATGTCACGAGCTACGCCGTTCTCCAGGGATAATATCCATTCTCGATAATTCTCGGTGGTGGAATCTGCCAGACTATCTGCCCACTGGAAGAAGTGTGACTTCTCCATGATTCTCTACAAGCACATGTGGAGCTGTCTCTCGTAGTTATATGCTTAACGTGACGTCAGCAGAGAAGTCTAAAGTTCACAGTGACACATCAATCTTCTGGAGGTCCCAAGAATCTTAGAACTTTTTTTTTGAATGCTTTAAAAGATAATCCATTAGTCACAACACAAGTTGAAATTAATTAAATAAGTAATTAATTATAGTTTTGTGAGATGTGATGTCTCAGAGAACTCAGTATACCAACCAACGAATTTGTCACTATAAGAAGACAATAAACCTTGTATAAGAAGGGTTGTTGATTGCCTTTAACTCACATAATACCAAACTCGTGTGTCACATATGTATATCATAAAAAAAGACTATTCAGAAGAACCTCAAAAATCATATTGACGAAAATAAAGAGAAAAACTTGGTTGTCTTCAATAAGATTTCACATATGACTCCAACCAATACCGACAAACAGACCATCCGGAAGAATCCATAAGGTCAAATATCTCATCATAAACCTCTCAAACCCATCAAAAGAAAAACAAATGAAATGCGAATGGAAAAAAAAATTACAAAAAATGTAAAAAAATCCAAACAATCAATATCAAATATACAAGAAAAGAAAATAAACAAAAACTGAATAAAATACAAATAGTATTGAATAAAATACAAATCATAATATAATGAATATTCTAATCATCCCATACTATCGCATTCGTAATTTGTTCCTTCAACTCTGTCATCATGCTTATATCTTTTACGTTTTTAGTACAGGTGCTGGAAGCATTATTCTCAAGTTGTGAAAAAGAATGTCCAAGCGATACTCAAATTCCTCAGTAGGTACATGATCATGATCATCGTCTGCCCTACAGAAGTTATATTTGCGGGAAGTGTGCCGCCAAATTTAATTGTGGAGAACCATCATGACAATCACAATCTGCACCTATTTGGAAACAGGTAAAATGACATATCGCAAAGTATAACATATTTCATCTTCTAAACACCAAAATCCTCTCAATGATATCATGTAAGGAGGAATATTTTTTATTGAACTTTTTTTTTCTGTCTCATGTTGCATTGCTTGCTCGCTCGCTCAAAGTCATGTATGTGATATCTTGTATCAGGATAGAGCTTGAGGTACCCTCGCTGCAACGGATATTCAACATCAACCAAGTAGTATTTACCACATATGTATTGCATGATTAATATTGAGGGAAAAGTGAATTACGAGAGTAGCTGAGTCTCAAGAGTACCTGTGGGAGGGTGTGAGAAGTTGTACTTGTTATTTCGTATTGAAACTTTGAAAATTTTATTGTCATGTGCACTGCCTTCTCAACTGGTCATGAAAAAAGTGAAATACATGTTGAAATCACATACAATCATGATATTCTGCGTCGGTGACCCATAACGATCAATGAATGCGATCTTCTCATTATTTGGAACATGTGCATCAATGTGTATTCCATCGATTTCTCTAACAAAGTTCTGGAAATATAACGATGAGTTACGTACTAACGTTGTTTTTTTTGTAAATTGAATGTAATAAATTTGAGATATTACCTTAAAGAACGACATGTACCGTGCATCGTGTGAAATGACCGTGGGAGCTGTTCGAATGTAGGATTTGTTGGTTTTATGACTTTTGAAGAAAAAGTTACAAGTGCCTTAAACTCCACTGAGTTGTTGAAACCGTTTCATTGCTCATTGCATTGATTCATTCTACCATAATATGTAGAGGGTTATCTCCAACACTTCTCGCGAAGTTGTCCTAAAAGAGCCATGAAGTCCATGGTTTCTGTGTAGTTCCTCCAACAGATCTTTGAATATTGTCTGTGCCATGCAGAACATATTATTAAATCTCGTTGGGTGACCTGCAAACAACTCTCCAACCCATTTGCCCCAACATATGCGATGTCATGCAAGGGGAGCGATCTATGTATGAGTTATAATATTCATACATCAAACATACGACAGCTGCAACTCTCCTTCTATGCCTTTCTCTGGTTGCATCATTGTAGATCAATATCATACCGGCTAACACAAAAACATCAATGAATTAGCTACAATCATATAAGGTTACGAACAACAAAATAAAGATATAAGTATCACTGAATAAGCCATGTCACACGCAGTTGAAATATCCAAAGCAAAATGAAAAATAATGCACAAACATAAATGTTCCAAGCGATTGTAAATAAAAAAAAAGTCTCTCAAATGTTACGAGCTACAAAATAAACATATACGCATCACCGAATAAGCCATGTCACACGTAGTTGAAATATCCAAAGTAAAATGAAAAATAATGCACAAACATAAATGTTCCAAGCGATTGTAAATAAAAACAAGTATCTCAATTGTTTCTGCAATTATAAAAATATCATAAGTACGCCATCATACGATTATCGGGTATCTTGATGAAAAAATCTCTACAGGTCGAATCTTCAAACAATTTTATCGTAAACAAGTACATCGAAAATTCCTCAGAAAATTTTCTAGTTGCATTCATAATTTGCATGACCTAGTCGACAGAAGTTGCTTGAGACGAGTGGTGTTCAGCGCTGCAAGAAGCTACCAACTGTGATATCTGGCTTCTAAGGAAAACAAATCCAACTTTCTTCTTATTCTCAATTCAACCCGTTGACGCTTAGAACGACATGTGGACTCAAGTTCATGGAGGTCCGGGCTGGGGACTTCGATTGAATCACCTGATTGATAGGCTCTCAGGGTTTCAGGGGCGACACCAAACTCTGTCTCACTGGGGGCACATACATTGTTGCCCGTAGCAACGACACCCCAAACATACGATCAAACTTCTACTCTTACTCAAGATCGATTCCACTGAATTTAATTTTTTTTGCGTGGACACCACCTGCAAATTCATATAACATCTACTTCAATTTAAAAACAAAATGAAATTAACCAAATTAGGCTGGCTCCCAGGGTTTCGGGGGCGGCACCAAACTCTGTCTCACTGAAGGCACATGCATTGTTGCTCGTAACAACGACACCCCAAACATATGATCAAACTTCTACTTCAACTAAAGATCGATTCCACTGAATTTAAATTTCTTTGTCGCGGACACAACCTACAAATTCATATAACATCTACTTCAATTTAAAAACAAAATGAAATTAACCAAATTAGGGGACATGTCAAAAATGTTTACTACTAGTCTTTCTGCCCACAACTTCTCGAAATCATTAATTGTTTGCTTCACCGGATCCCACTCTAGGCCCGTTGATCATAGTTTCAATTTATTCTAAATTTTCTAATTCTTCTTGAGCTGATTACACTTATTTTTTAATTGCATCATATAGTTTTCTCTTTCTGCACTTTCCTTGAATATTCTGGTAATATTTTGCCACCCTTCCTTGTTGAAAAATGTTGTAGACTTATTTCCCAAATCGATCTCCTTGAGGCAAAGTCACAAAATATTAGTTTGTTCTTTGTCCCACATTGCGGGTGAGTCTTAATCATTGTATTACTATGATGAGAAAAAAAAATTAACATAAATAAGAATACAATAATATATACACACCACTATACAGTCCACCACACCTCCACAGCCACCAAGCCGCTGATTATTGCATATTTAAAAGTGGATGCATTACATACATACCATATTATTTTTATGTATTTACATATTGAAAACCTAAACATTTATATTTACAGTCAAATCACCCAGATTTTTAACAACACATAAAAAAATATCACAACTACTTTTTAAAGCGAAATGCATTTTTTTATTCATAAATTTATGACACCAAAGTGTTAGAAGTATAAATATCAAACTTTAGTGTTAGATATGGAAATAAATAAGAATTGTGTGGTATATATGTAAATTTCTCTTAAAAATGTGCACATTTCATTTCTATCCAGCTCTTGAAGTAAGAATATTGGTTGCCTTGATTCTAAGCTTAACCTTTATTTTGATTTGGATCTCCCTCCATTCAGCAATTGCAGGTGGAATCAGAGCCCTTAAAAACATAAGAGACAGCAGAGCTCCTACAGGGTACCCCCATTCTGTATTTTACTGTATCTTGATTAGTGATTATCTTAAAATTTTTCCAAGCTTGATTACTTTTGCTTATTGGGAACTCGTGATTTAAAATCTGGGATCAAGCACATTCATTTAATCCCAGGAACTTTTATATAGATTAAGTGATTGTAACATTTCTGATAATAAATTTATTGAAGATTTACATACATGCCACTCTATTCACCTATGGATTTACATATCTACCATCTAAACTTCAATTTTTACATTTCACTTTTGAAAAGTTAAATTGTCATTATTATCGTGATATGAAAGATTTGAGTGGTATAAATGTAAAAGTAAAGTTTAGGTGTTGTTGAAATTCAGAATAATGTCGGAATTTTTTTTATTGATGCAAAGAGGGGTATACCCATTACAGGACTTACTGGTAAGGAAAACAATAAAAACAGAATACAGTAGAAAATTAAATGAATAATAAAATATAAGAGACAACTAATCTCTCTAATTAAGGAGAGAAATAAATAGAGATTCCCAAGATTCCTCATATAGTTTATAACCCTCTAAATTCAGAGTTATAACAAATATGAAATATAATCATTACTATTTTTGAGATCTTTCAACACTTCCCCTCAAGTTGAACATGGTTGAAAATCATATTCAACTTGAATTTGAAAACATCGGCTGCGGTATGCTGACTAAACATGTAACATCAATTTGTCAACAAAAAATTCCAACAATCCTCAAACCATAAGTGCCTAAGCCGAAGGTCCCGAAGCCGAGAATGCAGAAGCCTGAGAGTGTCGAAGCCTGAGAGTAGCCGAAGCCTGAGAGTGACCTGGACGAGGGCTAAGCTTAATTGATGAATTTGTAAGTCTTCGGTTGACTGATAATTGCATGAAAGCAACAAGAAGATTGCAATAATGCTGTAGGAGAGATGCAGGAAAGTTGCAGGTGGCCAATGACAGTGCTCAGAAAAGTTGTAGTGCTCGGAGAAGGTTGGAATAATGCTGTAGGAAAGAGCATTGTTTTCTTTAGGAAGAGCTGACCAAAATCTGCAGGGAAAAATTTGTTGAGGTAGATCCGACGGCGAGAAAAGCTGCATGAGGGAGGGAATCAGCTGCATGAGTAAGCTCGAAAGTCCAGGCGGCAGCAGATATGTCCGCAGAAAGTTCTGGCGGCAGGAAAGGCCGCAGGAGGGAGTTCCAGTGGTAGGAAAAGCCATCAAGGGATAGGTTCGACTGTCAGCAGGGAATAATTTCCGGTGGAGGAAGGTTTGTTGCTGAGAAGACTCAAGCAACGAAATTTGAACAAAGAAGCTCATGTAGGGAGAAGTCTGGTGCTCGGAAGAACAGGAGCTCCAGAGGAGGGCCGCATATTAGCCAAAAAAGGATGTGGGCAGAGAATCGATTGAGAGCCTGCAACAGAAAAAGATCCGGACAAGAAGAAGAAATCAGACAGAGGGCCTGAAGAACTTGGAGAGGATTGGTTGTTGCTTGCTACAACTTGTTGCTTATGGGATCACGAGGAGATCCTGTTGTTGCTACTATAGGGAGAGGATGCATGCATAAGAGGGCCTGCAGTAGGGAGGTTCAAGACTCTAAGGAGAGCAGTTTCCTGGAAGGAAATCGGGAGAGCCCCTGCGACCACATAATGAGTTTTGATTGCAGGAAAGTGAAGATTTGGCAAGGAGATCTGGCAGGGCGGACAGGGCGGACTGCAAGAAGATCTAGCAGGAAGGAGATCCTACTGGGAATTTCAGGAGGAAGGAAACCCTGCAGTAGGTATTGAAGAGGTCAATAGAAGGTCTGGGTAAGAAATAGCAGCAGGGGGATCTTGCTGAAATTGTAGGGTAATTTATTAACTGGTAGTTTACGGATTTGATTGACAGAAATTGACTCCGACGACTGACGATGCTTGCATAGTAAAAAAAAAACAAGGTGCAACAGAAGCTACATGAATTGCCGGCTGCAGAGAAGAATGTAGAGAGGTCTCTGGTTCTGATGGTTGCTTGGAGAAGGTCTGTTTGGAAACGCAGCTCCCCCTGACGCTTGGGCAGAAAAGAAAAAATACTGCAGGAGAGATGGACGGCTTGTCCGATCCACGACAGCGATATTTCCGACGAGATGATGTTGAGGTGGTTGGCGGCATCTCCGGTGCCGCCCTCACGAGTTCACTGAATTTGCTTGAAATGCTCTTGATGATGGTGCCGAATCTGGCTTCGTAGGAAAAATGAACAACCGAAGAAGGGATGATCGGGATGAATCGGATTTGCTGCCGAGGAAGAAGAAGATGCAAGAGACGAGTATCATGATGGCAAGGATAGCCAAGCCAAGTGTCCAGATCAAATTCTGTCCCCTCCACATCCATCTTCAGCACTACAAAGTCTTTCTCTGACACTGTGTTCTTCAGCCACTCAGCAAAATCAAAACCTTGAATCATATGCAAGTGGCCAGAGGAGAGGTCATTTGAAGAAGCTCCAGCAGCTCGGGTTCTGCCTATTCCACTTCCTCTCTCATCACTCTTTGGGTCCTGATCATGGTTTACCTCAAAAGAAATGGACTCATTCCGAACCCAAGCAGCAAATGGTAGCATCTTAATCCCTTTCTTGGATGCATACTCATTCCATGGAAAGCTCTATCAGCCTCAATTGCATAAATCTCGAAGGTCTTGTTTTGCTTAGGGTACTGCTTCTTGAACCAACTACCAATGCTGGAAACAGAGCTGCGGGCACCAACATCTATGTAAACATCTCTCTGTTTGAAGCTCATATCCACCATTGATGGCAGGTACTTGATGTTCAAGGAGATCCATGGCTTCTGGGGCTCCTCTTCAATCAGAGGCGCGGCGGAGCGCAGCAATTGCAGTTTATGCGCCGGAATAGAGCATTTATGGAGCAAATTTCCACCAATTAAAGGATCAACATCATCATTGGTTTGCATCGCTTTGTCCGTAATAATTTGAATAACTTCTTTCTGAAAAACAATCTCCCGGAGTGATTTTGAGGAATCCGGACCATTGATCTACCTGGACCTAACCCTCTTGCAGCAAGAAAAAAGAACTTCCAGGGAATGAAGGCAGTATAAGTCACCCTCGGACAAAGTGAGAAGTACAAGAAACTCTTTGGGTTTCAGTACCCGTGCTATTTCACCGGCGAGATCCGCCGGACGGCGGGCGGATCTGATCAATTATACGGCCAACAAAGACGAAATCAAACGAATTGTCTCTCCGAATGGCTGGTGGAGTATGTCGCCTGCGACGACCAGCGGCGGAGAATTCTTTTTGGAAATCCCAACAGCATCAGCGACACCAATCTCCTTCAAAGCAAGCACCTCGAGACCCGACATGGACTCCACGCAGAGAGATTTGGACGTTGAGGAGAGGAAACCCTCAACAATAAGATCCCGAAAAACGGAAGAGTAGAATTCCACCGCTTTGCGCCAATTCCTGCTCGTCCATATGTGGCGGAGCTCAGGGCTGATCGCTGATCCGTCGGAGACACGAACGAAGGCAGCGCCTCCCGATACACCACCGGGAAGGCTATAGAATTCCGCAGAGGAGGAGGAGAAGCAGAAGCCGACGCGCAGGAAACGCCGCGACTTATTACCACATAGATGTGGCGAAGCGAAAGAGAAGTAGGAAGACGCCCAATAGCAATAGGCAAGAAATGCAGCAATAAAAAGGCTCCATGGCTTAGACGTACAAAAATAGAAAATTTCTTTATTCAAAAAACGGTCGGTGGATATGTTATTGAAATTCAAAATAATGCCGAAATTTTTTTATTGATGCAAAGAGATGTATAAATATTTATTACAGGATTTACTAGTAAAAAAAATAATAAAAACAGAATGCAGTAGAAAATGAAATGAATGATAAAATATAAGAGACAACTAATCTCTCTAATTTCTCAAGATCCCTCATATAATTTATAATCATTTAAATATAGAATTATAATAAATATGAAATATAATCATTAGTATTTTCGAGATCTTTCAACAGGTGTTAGATATGTAAACATCTAGGATTTGTAAATGCCCCTACTTTTATTATCAATTAAAGAAATTGATACAATGCGTCGTTATCGTCATCATCTTCATCCTTCAGTTTATATTTCATGAATCTCTCTCTCTCTCTCTCTCTCTCTCTCTGTATATATATTGGAAAGCGTGAGCCGAAAGTCAGTAAGCACGATTCGAACCTGTGACGCTGAAAAATTATACCCTAAACCATTATGTCACGAGTAAGAGCGTTATTTCTTGTATATTTGGTAAGCTTTGTTGTATCGTTTTTTTTTTTTTTTTTTTTTTTTTTTTTTTTTTTTTTTTTCTTTTGTTTCATGTCCTTGTTGGGTCTCTTGAGTCAGCGTATTTAAACATTATATTATGTTCTTCAGCCTTTCTTGTTATGTTTAATTCTCTTATTGCGCAATTAAATATAGAAAGATTTACAACATATCACTCTCATGTATATACATATCTGACATCTAAACATATTTGTCATCTTATTTATTCATGAAAATGTGTATTTCACTTTTTTTTCAAAGTTAAAATAGTGATTTTTTTATGTGACATAAAAGATTTGGGCGGCATAAATGTAAAAAAGAAAGTTTGCTGTTAGGCATGTAAATATATAAGTAGTAGATGATATGTTGGTTCTCCTGTTACGAGCTATTAAATGTGGGAATGTTTACATATATCCCACTTAATTATGCATTTACATTTCTAACACCTGGACTTTAAGTTTACCTATATGACATGAATATGTGTATTTCACATCTGCAAATGTTAAAATAGTGTTTTTCCTGATGTGATATGAAAAATTTGGGTGGCATGACTGCAACAAAGCTAAGTCTAGGTGTTGGGTATATAAATTCATTAGAATTGGGCGGGGTCTGTATGTAAATACCCCATAAATGTATTATATGTACTAAATTCATGGCTTGGTTGCCGCTCATCTCTGTTCTCCTGATTTTTGCTTTCTTTTGTTAACGACAGTTAACGTGATGCTAAAGATTTGAGTGTTATTCTAAAAGTTTAGGTTCCAGATATGCAAATACATAAGAATTATGTGGTATGCATGTAAAAGCAAAAACAAAAGCTATTTGTAAACTTCAATCATCCTTCAATCTATTGGTAGCGTTAACACCCACATAAGATTAGATCATCTCAAATTTCTCAATTTTTTTTTTTAAAGATTTACATACAAATCACTCAAATTTTGTGTATTTACATTTCTAACACCTAAAATTTAATTTTTACATATACATCATCTTACATATTCTTGAAAAAGTGCATTTTATTTTTATAAATAATTTTGGTGGTATATTTTTGTGATACGTATGTTTTTGGTTAGCATATCTAGAGCTACAATCCAAGTTTTTTTTTTTTAATTTATTATTATTATTATTATTATTATTTTAGAACTAGGATCCAAGTTTTATGGTTGTGTTTGTGTATTATTAGGGTTGTAAATGAGCTGAGCTTGAGCGAGTTTGGACTTGACTTGTGTTCGAAATTGTTCGTGAGGAGCGTGTTTGTGTTTGATTCGATTTACATATTTTTGTTTGTGTTGGCTCGAAATTGTCTTTTTTAAATTAGTTAGAATTAGATCTATGGTATTGGATTTGAACTTGCATCATTTCTATGCAAAAATAAAACATTGAATCACATAAGCTGTGGTGATTTGAATGTATGTAATATATTATGATATTAATAAGATATATAATTTTCTTATTTCGAACTAAAACGAGTTGAATATGATCGAACAAAAAGTTATTTGTGTTCAACTCTTTTATAATTCGAGCTTAAAAAAAATTATTCGTGTTCAACTCGCTTAATGATTGATTCAAATGCGAGTTGCTAAACAAGCTGAACACGAGCTATTCGTGCGTGAGCAAGATGTTCACAAACAAGCTTTTTCGACAGACCTAGTGACCATATATTTTAATAAGTCAATGATAACCGTGTAATTCACTCTGGACAAATAATCTATTGAACCATCAATATTATTTTGACGCAATTACATATAGACCATCAAAATCTTACCATTTACAAATTAACCACCCTATTTCATCCATATTTCAAATTATTTTGAGGCAATTACATATATTTTAAGAATAAAAAGTGTATAAAATATGTTGATTGATTGCTTTCAAACAAAGTTAAGTTGCCCTCACTTGTTGGAGCGATTATTGCATGCGGAGAGCACACGCAGAATTTGTAGTGTGCTCTGATCGGAGAGCGCACGCCGCTCACAATAATTAGACCACTTGTTGGGATGTACTGGCCCAAAGCTACTGTGGTGCGCTTATCAACGGTTAAAAGTTACCTCTTTTTATTTATTTATTTATTTTATTTTTTGGTTTTTTGCTTTCTGGAAGATTTTTGAAATTCAGCCACTCAATTTTTATTTATTTAAATATCTAACCCCTAAATTTTAATTTTTACATATATTCTACTTTGCCCATACATAAAATGCTAAAAGTTAGCTTGTATTATTTTAGTTGTGATATGAGAGATTTAGGACCCGTTTGGGGCAGCTTATAAGTTAGATTGCATTATGTATTTTTTATATTTTTATACTAAACGCAGACCACGGGTCGACCTGCTGGTCGCGTTTCAGGATAAACTGCTTATCCTGAAACACACAAGTTGCCCCAAACAAACCTTTAGCTGATATAAATATATATCAAAAGTGAAGTTTCAATTTTAGATATGTAAATACATTAAAATTGGGAGGTGTGCATGTAAATGCATCCTTCACTCCCCAAATGAATCAAAATTCTTTATGGAATTTTTTTTTTTTTAAAATTTGACTTTACAAAAAAAATGTGGATAAGAATTAATTCGGTCAAGAAAAAAAAATTGAAGGAGCAATTATTACATCAACTTGCTTAAAAAGTGCATTCTTAATTTTTGCTTAAAGAGGAAAAAACATTTTGTATATTTAATAATTAATATTCAATATTTATGAGATATTTCACTAAATATATATATTTAAATTTATTATTATACTCCCGAGTTATTATAATCTCGAAAGATATACATATCACTCAATTCTATGCAGTTACATGTCTAACAATCTAAAATTTAATTTTTACGTATATTGCCATGCGTATTTCACTTTGTTAAAAACTAAACTTTTTTATGTGATATGAATGATTTAGATGGTATAAATATAAAAAAATAAAATAAAAGTGTTAGATATATAAATACATAAGAATTAGGCGGTATGCGTGTAAATGTCCCTATAACTCTTTTGAATAAGTATAGACATAATCTTTGTGGTATATAAAAAATTCTAAATAAACAAATTATCAATCAATCAACTTGTCAAACAAGAACGAAATAAAGCTTTTTACACATTTTATAAATCATTATCCTTCATAAACTACTTCAATTATCTATTGCTTCCTTCCTTTTTTGGCTCTCCCCTTCCCATGTCATATAATATCAAATTTTAGCCATGATGGATCTATAAGTCGTGGGATTTGCTTTAAGATTAGTATGATGGACTATACATATATCTTAGACCCATCATGATAATAAAAAGAAGCTGACTTTTGATTTGCCACATTTACTTATTCCTTATGTAATCAAGCAATTCACATTTCGCCACATCACCATTGGGTGAGCTTAGATTAGCCTTTTCCTGCCGCATCTCCACCACTTTCTTATGAGAATTCGAGTGAACAAAAGGAGTAAACTTTGGACTTGTAGCGGGTCGATACTCAGGGAAAAGCCGACCTGACATGTAGCGAACACCACAAGCATTACATAATGTCTTGGGCCCCATTGGTCCGGCCCGCCACTGCGGTGTTTTATGACTCTCACAATGCAAACACTTCTTCAGCCTATCGCGATCAACCACATTACTTTTTTGTGTCTTTTCCATAATTTCGGGCTTGGATACCCATAGGGTTAGGGAGGAGGGGGAGATAGGTCGGGTGACTTGAGCCCGCGGGCCTTTAGTTTGGGTTCGGGTTCGGCTTGTGGGCGGGTCTGGGGTTGAGGAAGTGGAGGCTTTATTGTTCTCAAGAATAGGGGTTGGGCTCTGTGATATGAATGCTATAGGATTGAGAAAGTTGAGATCAGACTCTTCAATGAAGTTTGAAAGCCAATCCAGATTTATAATCTCAATATCATCGCGCTGCAGCTGCAAAAAATTTGAATAAATTAGATCTTAGCATATGAAATTTTCATCAATCATAAAGTTTAAGAAAAAAATTAAATGATGATGGCCATGATTTTTGAAGCACAGTGAATTTTAAAGAAAATTCTTTTGGAATATTTGGAAGAGTATTTTTTTGAATAGAAACAGAACAGGAGGAATTTCAAATAATCAACAGTAGTACTTACCATGCTTCTCAGCGCATCCTCTTCCGAACTAATCCGGCTGCCGGCGACGGCGGTTGGACTGTCATGAACTCTTCCGGCGATTTCCGGAGTTTGCAGAGGAGCTATCTGATCTCCATTGTCGCAACCATCCATCATTGCTAGCCAGTCATCTTCATTTTGGAAGTCAAGTAAGTCGTCAATGAAATCAAAGGGGTCTTCACACTGCATGTCTGTGGCTGAAGAAATTAAAGCCCCTTTATCATCACATTACAAAAATTAATCAGAAAAAAAAATATTTTGAAAATATTTAAATGAAGAAGAGAATACAAAAATAAAAATTGATAGTTTTTGAAGGTTTGTTTGATTGGTTAATTCGGTGTTTGAGAATATGTTCTTAAATACTTTTTTATTTTAGATTTTTTTTCTAAATCATAATGAGTTTTAAACTCTGCAAGCCTTTTTAAAGGAACTTAAAAATGACGTTTTTAATTATATAGTGAGAAAAAAATCAGAACTTTTCTTCAAAAATGAAATTTTCTACTACAAAAAGAAAAAAAAAATAATTTTTTTCATCTATTTTAGCAGGAAAATAAATTACGAGAGACTGAGACACACTTACAGATAGAAGAAGAAGAAGTATGAAAGAGGAGAGAAAGAGAGGGAGAGAGAGAGGGCGATTGAGATAGATAGAGAGAGAGAGATGAGAAAAGAGGTTGGGGAGGGGAAGGCTTAAAATGGAGGGAGGGTAGAGTGTGAAGTTGGAGAAAGAGAAAGTGGACAGGAGGTGGAAAAGAAAAAAAGAAGGATTAAAGGGTATAGGAGGAACGTGAAAGAAGTGAAGGCAATGTGGAGAAATATAGACGGAGAATGCCACCACTAATCTAAATATCTTTTGCTTAGAATTATATATTTGATTTTTGAGCTGATCGAGTTGACTCAAGATTAACTTAATATA